AGCTCTGTGAGGAGATGGACACAGAACATACACAGCAATTATACAGAGAAGTGAGATGGCTTTCAAAGGTAGATCACTGGCCAGAGTTTCTGAATTATGAGAGCTGCTCCAGAGATTTCTTTTAGAAAAACAGTCACCACTGGCAACACATTTCATTGACACGGAATGGGTCACAAAACTTGCTTACTTGTGGGACATATTCAACCTGTTTAACCAACTCAATCTGTCACTTCAGGGAAGAATGACAACTGTGTTCAAGTCAGCAGATAAAATGGCTGCATTCAAAGCCAAACTGGAATTAAGGAGGTGACGAGTGAACATTGAGATTTTTGACACGTTTCAAACATTAGCAGAGATTTTGAAAAAGACTGAGTCAGGGCCTTCTTTCTCCCAGCTGATGCACGATCACTGATCTCAGCGTTCAAAAGAGTTTGAGCATTATTTCCCAACCACAAAAGACCCCGAACTGGGAAGGAATTGATCCACTACCCATTTGTGAATAAGCCGGGTGAATATACTTCATCCATGCTCGAAGAGGGTCAGCTGTTTGATATCACAAATGACAGTGACCTTAAAAGTATGTTTGGGACCTCAAATCTCCATATGTTCTGGGTTAAAATCAAAGTGGAACATCATGAGATTGCCACAAAAGCACTGAAAAGCTTGCTTCCACGTCCAACATCCTGTCTTTGTGAAGCAGGGTTTTCTACAGCGACAGCAACCAAAATTATGCAACCAAGATTATGGAGTAGACTGGACATAAGTAACACACTTTGGGTGTCGCTATCTCCCATAACCCCTGGATGGGACCATCTAGTTGCAGGAAAACAAGCTCAGGGCTCCCAGTGGTTCTGCATTATGGTGGGTTGCGTAATTATTTAATTACATATTACACTGTAATTAATAATAGAAATAAAGTACACAAAAAATGTAATGCGCTTGAATCATCCCGAAATCATCTCCCTTAGGCTCCATTCGTGGAAGAATTCTCTTCCACGAAATGGGTCCCTGGTGCCAAAAAGATTAGGGACTGCTGTATAGAGCACCGGAAATGAGTGCGGTAAAGAAGAGCTTTACTTGGAATTAAAGTTGCACCCACTCCTATTATTCACAGAAAATAGTGGTTAGCAAAATGCCTCCTGGTCTTGAGTCAGTGTTATAGAAGAGTGAATACAGCCAGACTGTAGCTACTTGCAGTAGTCTTTTTCAGCACTTGGGCCCAGTCCAAGAATGCCTGGCTGCTTTTCCATACTTGTGAACGCTGGCTACCAACGATGGAGCAGAGACCACAAGTTGTCTCTCAGTATCTATTCCACTTTTATTCTCTTCTGGTTTTACTCTGGGCAGCAAGGTAACCGGCTTCATTTATAGCTTGAGGTGGACAATGATGCATTAGGTGGTGTGGGACCTCGGGAAAAGTTCCTTTTAAAAAAGACATAATTCTGGCATGTAGCTTTTTTGGCATTTTCCTTTCCTCTTTCTTTCTGATGGGAGGATCTGATAGCTAGAGCTGCATCAGTCAACTGAACCATGAAGTGGCTTTGAGGGTAGAAATCACGTGCTAAGGAGAGCAAAGCAGAAAGGTAGGGAGTCTGACTTCTTGCTGATATTACAAAGCTGCCAAAAGGGCCCTGGACTGCTACCTTAACAGGGCTTACCTTGAGAAAAAAATAAGCCTCTATCCCATTGTAACCTTTGATTTATGTATTATGTAGGCTAATTCTAACCTACATAAATAAAAAAATACACATTCAAAATAAAGCATAAAGACCACTTTGATTTTTCTTAGGGGCTTATTCAGGCAGATTATCTCAGTGATAAACTGAGGTCCTTGAATGACCTGAGCCTATCACTTGAGATCTAAACTGTAACATTTAGTGTTAAAGATGAGAGTCATTTCCTATTCTGCCTCCCTCTCTTTTCAGTTCAATCAAGCTGTAGTACTGTGGTCCCCACAGAAACTGGCTTACACTCTGCCCTCGAGCTCAGCTGCTATCTCCAAGTTCTAACCTTTCTCACTCTGGCACTCTCACCTTCCTGGCTAATTCAAAGGATAAAAGAATCGTCAAATAGGATGGTGTCACTGTTAAAATCCCAAGCCTCCTTATGCAGACTAAGCTCTATCACTCCTGAATCATAGACCTTGTATTACAGTAAATACTGTTAGTTGCTATTACCTAAACTCAAAAATCTCAATGGCTTAACACAAATTCTAATGTGGGTCAGGAGTAAGAACTCTGCTCCATTCAGCCACTCAGGGACTCAAGCTCCTTCCATTAAACAGCTCAATGTCCTCTGCTGGATCCTTTCTGCATCTTGACAAGAGACAAAGGAAAAGAGAGAACATGGGAGAATAAATAGCATGGGAAGTTTTTCAGGGCCTTGGAATGGCATACATCAGCTTCTCCCACATCTCACTGGCCAGACTGTAGGCATGTGCACCCAGATAGCTAAGGGGTACAGTCCAGCTATACGCTAAGGAAAAATAAAACAGTAATTATTTACTCTCTCCATTTCTGTGGGTTACGACTTTGGGAAATTAGCCAGGGAGTTCTGCCCTGGGATCGCTCCTGAGGTCAGATGTTGACCAGGACAGTGGTCATCTGAAGGCTTGGCTGGGGCTGGAGGATCTGCTTCCAAGGTGCTTTATTCATAGCTGACACATCATTGCTGGCTGCTGGCGGGAGGCCTCAGTTCCTCCCAACATAGGCCCTCCCTGCTTGAGGGTCCTCAGCCATAGCAGCTGGCTTCCCCCAGAGTGACCAGGAGACCAAGGTGTAAGCCCTCTGTGATCCGGCCACACAAATCAATCACTTTTGCCATACTCTTACTCAAACAGACCAGCCTTGATTCAATGAGACTATACAGAGGTGTGAATACTAAAGGCAAGATTATCTGTGGGCTATCTTGAGTACTGGCTATTACATGCATGTAGTGAATAATCTGCCACAAGTCTAAGGCAGTGTGATATTGTGACTTATAATAAGAAATATGTATCTGATCTTTGTCCCCACTTCTGGCAGAGCTCCTAAAACCCTTGGAATTATCCTAAGTGATAAGAGTGAAGAAAGTGTCTTTTGTTATAAGATAACTTTGGAAAGCCCTTAGGTAACCTAAGGATGGGGGCTGGTTGCCAGTAGAACCAACCACATGACTAAAGGGTTGGAACTTTCAGTCCCACTGCCCCACCTCCAGGGCAGGGTCAGGGGGCTGAAGGCTGAATCAGTCATTAATGGCCAATGATTTAATCAGTCATGCCAATGTAATAAAACCTCTATAAAACCCCGGAAGGACAGGGTTGAGAGCTTACAGGTTGGTGAACATGTGATCTGGGGAGAGTGGCATGCTCAGCGGGAGTATGGAAGTTCCATGCCCTTTCCCCATATCTTGTCCTATGAATCTCTTCCACCTGGCTGTTCCTGAGTCATATCATTTTATAATAAACCAGTGATCTAGTAAAACGTTCCTGTTTTGTAAGCTGCTCAAGCAAATTAATCAAAACTGAGGAGAAGGGTCTTAAGAACCTCCGGTTTATAGCCTACTGGTCAGAAGCACAAGTGACAACCTGGACTTGCAAGGGGGGTTGGAAGTCCTGCAGGACTAAACCCATAGAATCTGATGCTATCTCTGGGTGGATAGTGTCAGAATTGAGTTGAACTATAAAACACCCAGCCAGTGTCTGGAGAATAACTGGTGCTGTGTGGGAACATCACTCCCTTCACACATTGAAAATTGAGTCTCGAAACCATTTTAGGCAGAAAAGTCAGACACAACTAGCAAGACAAATTAGCAGTTATCTACCTGATTTATTAACGCTGGTTTGACAAAATTAGTGGGAAAGATAATATGCCTAAAGGAAGCAGACTCAGCCTTCTTATACATAATACAAATGCTTCTCTCATTATTACATTCTTTACAGTGGCACGAATACCTCCAAAACTTTTCCCTAGACCTTCTTAAAGTCATAAAAGAACATAAAGCCATAAAAGTATTAGGGAAAAAAAACAATTAAAAAAAATCTTCCTGGGGTGGAAAAGGCTTTCTAAAATATGAAATAAAATTGATATATTAACTATACAAATATTTTAAACACTATAAAGTAAAAAAATGACAACTGGGAAAATTATTTTTAAGACATAAATGGCCAATTTCCTTAATCCCCCCGAATATTTTAAAAACAAAATTCAAAATTTAGAAAAACAATTTTCAATTAAATGTGTCAAACCCTACACTAAAGTGGTCTTCTGAGAGATTAAAAATGGAAAGAATCCATTAGCACAAAGAGAATAAGAAACAAAAACCAACAAGCAGTATTAGAATTTGAAAGCTAGAAAGTATCTACATGAAGGAAAGTCAAGAAGCAAAACTATTTGCCCTGTACAACCTTAGAAAGGCTATAGTGCATGGCAAGACTGAAAACAAAGTTTGGTTGTCAGTCTGCATAAGGAGAACTCAGGTTCTTGCCCGCCTCCATATAGCCAGATTCATACACAACTTAAATATTTTTGCGAGTATGCACATACACATTCAAAACAGTGAGTTTTCAATTTGGAAAGTTAATTCTAACTAATATGTTCTTAAGTCTTTATAACATTCAGTTCAGATAAAAAGGAATTACCAATGTATGGCTTCACACGCTTGTCAAAGATTCTGTGACAGAACTACTTTCTTCTCTTCCAAATTATCCCAACAGTCCAGGGGAAACACGTGGGCTGGACAAAAAGCATTGTTTCTAAACTCAAAACTGTCACATTCTAGATCAGTCACATCACATACCCCTTTGTTCTTAGAAAATAAGAGAATTGTATTAGGAAATTTTTGCTTGGACTACAAGGAATTTCAAAGTGAAAGCTAAATTTATAACATCTTGTTGTCTTCAAAAACCAGTCCCACCATTATAACAATGTACATATGTTGAGTCCTTTGGGAGAAAAAACAAGATACCTCCCAAATTATGAAATCTGTCATACATCCCAACATATTTTTTAAATAATACAGAATTCAGACCATGCAACAATGTCTTTTATTATGTATGAGTTTTTCAAATTATTTCCTCAATTTGTCCATACACAGGCAAATATAAGTGTACTGTTTAACATATTAGAATTTGCAAAATTGATCATTGCCTAAAGAAGGGAAAATTATCCATAAGACATGTTTAACCAGGAGGCCATTTCATCTGCCTACCTCCGAGAACATGGAGGTGCACATGATAGACAGACTGTCCCCCATCTGAGCCTTCATTGACCACCATTCGATAACCCTTCTTCAGGCCTAGGTCCGCAGCACATTTCTTGCCAACAATCATTAAATGTCCCAGAAGCTGAAAAAAAAAGTTTCTTAAGCACAGGCAATTTACAATTACTTGCCATTAAATAACAGACTACCAAGGTGAAACGTTAAATTAAAAAATTGCCAAGTTGAAACACACTCCTTTGAGCAAATATTTAGAAATTCTTTTAATCCTAATACAACATAATTTACAATTAAAAAATTAGTAAGATTAGGTATTTATGTATTACTGATTTCGATTAAAATGAGACAAATTTACTGCTCAATTAATACAATTAAATTTTCTTAATAAAGCAAGACATCTTGCTTTCTTGTTATGGGGGAGGGTATCAAGCAGGATAGGTTTGGTTATGCTGTGGTAACAAGCTACCCCCAAATCTGGTTTACAACAAAAAAACATTTCTTGTGTTCACTACATGTTCATCACAAGTTGACCAGGCTCTATTTCTATATCTTTTTCACTTTGAGACCCAGACTGATAGAACAATCTCTATATGATCATAGTAGCAGAGACAAGAGAAAACATGGCAAACTAGCTCTTAAAAGTTTTCACTCAAAAGATATATATCCCTTCCACTTGCATTCATGGGCTAAATCAAATCATGTAACCAGGCCTCACACCAATGAGGCAGCAAATATAATGCACCCCTAAAGAACAGTGAATAGTTACAAACAATTATACAATCTACCACAAAAAGCATTCGGAAAAATTTTAATTAAGGCCGATAACTCCTGGCAAAAGCAAATAATTACTTTTCTTTCCTTTAACAGTATTAGTAGAAGGATCCGTGAACCCTCTCCTATATGATATACTATTTCTTTGTTGAGGAAAAATGAATCTCACCAGCTAATCCTTATGTGGAAATCTGTCTGCTTAAGAATTTGTGGTGATGGATATTAACTAGAATTATTGTGATAATCATTTCATAATATATACATATATCAAATCATGTCATATACCTAAAACTAATACAATGGTATATGTCACTATATCTCATTAAAAATCAAAACTATTTATACACTGCATTGAAGCTCTAATGCTCTTAGGAAAATGAAAATGTAACATCAGTTTAAGGTCAAAATTTAGTCTCCCAATTTAAAAAGCAAGAAAATAAATTGTGCTAGTAAATTTACTTACACTTTCATCATCATCTTCTGCTACAGAAATCTGGGAGATATGCTTCTTGGGTATCACCAGAAAATGTGTTGGTGCTTGAGGAGAAACGTCATGGAAAGCAAGACACTAGGGAGAAGGGGAAAAAAAAAAATCAAAGTTTAGCATATCATCTTGTAAGCTAAACTTATTCTTTCTTATAACCCCATGGGAAACACTGTAGTAAATGCTAGGAAATCAGTAGCGTGCACAATACACGTGGCCCCCTGGTCCTTTCCATAGAATTTACAGTGATCCTCAATCCCCTCAATCCCAATTTTTGTCTAACTTAAACTGCTATTCGTTCCTCAGCAGCCAGCATAGACATCATTTCCAAAGGCTATCTTCTGCTTCTCCTCCCCACCCTCCCTGAGTCAGAACCCTCAGCAGTGCAATTTCCCGGTTTTTTCCTTTACTTCAGGGATCAGTTTTGTAATTACATATTTATCTAATATTTGACTAATATCCATTTTTTCCATTTTACTCAACTATTTAAGAAATATACCTATTCTCTTTGGTGGAAATGAAGAGGATAAGTAGCATGTATACAAATGACATACCACATGAGTGTTTACCTCTTGTTCTCTACTGAAGGTAAAAGCTACTTAGAACCTAACCCTGCTTACCTGTCTCAGGAGTAATTCTATTTGGTGCTCCATACAAAATGCTGTATCATTTAGATTGCATCATGCTGTTACTTTGTTGAGACTTCGGTGATTCAAAAGTCAGTATTTCAACGATCATTTATAAAAAGTAACTGAAAATATTTCAAAAGAAGTGTGCATTTTCTAAAACAAAAGAACTTCCCTAACTAGTGACAAATAAAGGTATTTAAATTCACCTCGAAGAATCTAATTAAATCTGAAATAACGTTTTGAATCTAAGAACAATCCTAGTAGCATAAAATGAATGTTTCTTATATCCCATATTTCTTAATTTCACAAAAAGTTTACAGAACTTTTTCTATGTAAATCAGCCAACCTCCTGTCCTGCTTTATCTGATACCCAAATCCATAAATACAACTGCCCATTAAATATTTTACACAAGATGTCTGCAAGTCACATCAACTCAGCCTCTCTAAAACAGAATTTCACCTACAGGGAAGTCAACAAAACTACAGTCTTAGTCCCTTGGGATAAAATTGCTTCCTGCCAAATATAAAATGAACCATTCTTGCCGGGAGGAGCTAAGGGAAAGCAAATCCCGGAAGCAGGCCCACTTAGTTCAGGAGTCCGCGGCCGGAGCAGGGTGGGAGTGGGGATGGGGGTGACGAGCTGGCCCCGCGCGTCCGCTCTCTCCGCCGCGGCCCCGAGGTGCGCGCCCGGGCCCTCTAGCGCAATGCGGCGCGGAGAGGCGCCCGGGATCGCCGTGCAGGCCGGCTGTGCGCGGGAGATCGCGGAGATTGGGCCCGAGTCAGGGTGCGATCGGGTTTCTCTCTGTCAGGCAGAGCGCTGGCGAGATTGTGAGATTCCTGACACAGGCGAGGTCCGACACAGCCGGGAAGCCCGCGGGCGCCCACGCCGAGGACCCGGCGTGACCC